CAGCCGTGGCCAGCGATGCGGCGGAGCGGATCGTAGAGCAGCTGGCAGTGGCTGCAAGCGGGTGCTGTTAGGACGGCTAACCCTCCAGAGGTTTGACCTACCCTTCCGGAGGGTGGCAACCAGAGCCCGACATACACGCTCGAATCTGACTCGGTTTGCAACTGCAAGTCGCCGATCCGGAGACAACCGACAATTCGGACGCATTGAAAAACCAAACGTGGTCTAGACCGCAACTGGTGTGGTCAAATGGGTGCCATTTTGACCGCATCAGTTGGTGTGGTCTAAACCACGTTTGGTGCGTTTGGTGTGGTCATTGCATGGAAGCACCGCACCAAACGTGGTCTAGACCACACCAAACGTGGCCAAACGTGGTCTACACTGAAAAAAAAGTCTAGTAACGATAACCAGAATCCTGGTACCAAATACCAGACTGTCTGATAGAATATAACTCAACTAGAATTCTGGTAAAAAATACTAAACTGTCTAGTTGGCCTCAGTCTAGTAAACCGTACCAGATTTATAGTTATCCTCACAATGCCGCCAGGTCCCCTTCTGGTAGTTTTTACCAAACATCCTGGTTAGTTAATGTGCTTACAAAACTGAAGTAAGAAGTCCAAAATTTAATAAAATATTTTTTCGTAGTGATGAAACCTGATGTGACGTCGATTTCGTTAACGAACAACCTCTGAATTGTTTTTTTCCCTCCTCCTCTCCTCCGGATTCGAACCGGGATCTCACACTTGTGAGACGGGCACGTTACCACTGCGCCACCACGTCGCCTGTGGGTTGAGAGGATCCCCACCAGGTGACTCTCTACGTGTCTGGCTCAGGGAAATACTCCCAGCGTTTCTTTCGGATTTAAGACTCCGAAAATAACGAAACCGGTTGCAGTTTACTTTTTGACACCCGAACATTTCAATTGAAACGAATATTTCGAAGTTTTACGTATGGTGCCAATTACGGAACAGTCTGGTAAAATTTACCAGGATTATTAACCAGACACCTGGTCTGGTACTTTTAACCAGACTTTTTTCTCAGTGTAGACCACACCAACTGATGCGGTCAAAATGTCACTCATCTAACCACACCAGTGGTGCGGTCTAGAGCACGTTTGGTTTTTCAATGCGCTTGGTACGCGTGCAGTGAGAGTGCGTGCCAGGCCTGCTGCAGGGTGGAAGTGTACCAGGTGGCCCAGAAACCCCGCGACAAATGATTGCAGGTTACACACCTTTGCAGACGTGCATGCGGGCTTGCCTACACTCCGGTCTTTGGGCGCCGGGACGCTCTAGGGTGGCCGCTCGTCCATGACGCACTGTCCACCGCGGCGCTGTCCTTCGCGGCGCCGTCGGCCGCGGGGCTGTCCGCCGCGGACAGCGCCGCGGCGCGAAGGACAGCACCCTAGCGCGTAGGACAGCGCCGCGGTGGACAGTGCATCATGGACGAGTGGCCACCCTAGAGCGTCCCGGCGCCCGCAGACCGGAGCGTAGGCAAGCCCGCATGCACGGCTGCAAATACACTCTTGAGTTTATCGTCGGATTGCCGAATGGCCACCCTACACTTTGTTGCTAGGAGCGCCGCGCCACCGCAGCCCGAGCCCCAGCGTCCCCGCCCCCGCAGCGAGCCCCGCAGCCACGACACACGTGCCAGTCCAGCTTAATGACCGTAGTCGAGCGTGAGTCACCCCACCGCTGCGCGCCCCAGAACTGATTCTCGCTCATTTGCGGTTATTTGATTATTTAGGTAGAGAGCCAGCCACCTAGCTTCGCATTCATGCGTTCAGGGCTACTGGTCAAAAGCGTAGCTTGAGTTGGTTTTTTTTTTTTTACCTTTTCTGCACGGCTGCTTCTTGCTCCATTTGCTCTCCAGAGGCTGAACCTTGTTGCTCCATTTGCTCTCCTGAATAGGGGGGAGGGGAAGGGACGGGGACGCCGCGCCGCGGCCGCAACAGCTGACTTACCGAGGGGGTAACGACTGGTAAATTTCGTGTCAGCCGGATTACGGATTACCCCGGATTACCCCGGATTATCCCCAAATTACCTCCGGATTACAACCAAAATAATCCCGGATTACCCCGGATTACCTCCCAATATGCTGTCAGCCGGATTCCCGAAGTCGTTACCCCCTCGTGACTTACCCTTAACTACCTCCGCCAGGCACTGGAGAATAGCAAGAGAGTCTTCTGGTCTCATTGCTATTCCGAATATCGCCGTCATAATCACGCCGGTAATTAGCAGGAACACCGCCCATGGTCTGAATTATTGAATAGCATGCAGCCATTATCCTGCAATTCTGTAACTTCTTCGACAAAATCAGCCAAAAATGCATCTAAATCAGGTGGCTTATCAGAATAACCATGCCAGATTGCTATGATGAATGGTTCTTCCATTTCCTGAAGGCACCCTAAGATAGGAAAAAAGGTACCTGAATTGCTCTTGTTCAATGGAATTCCATCTATGTTTATGTCAAATACAACATCCTTTAATGTTTCTAAATATTGGAGTGTGACTCTGGATCGGATGTTTGGCATTATTCCTTTGTACCAAAACAAGCCACTTCCAATTTGCCTGAAAGGTCCAGGAGTGGAAGGGGTCTGTAGAAGGGTCCTGGCAGTTTTGGGAAGAAATGGATGAAAAGGCTGTAAAATTGTTAGAATTTCATCAACTTTTTTAAAGGACACCCTATGACGAGCCCACTCCCTTATATTTTCCAAAAGAGCCAAATTTCTTTCCTCTTCCTCATGTTCATCATTATTGTCCCCTCCACTAGCTTCAGATATAGAACTTGCAATATCACTGTCAGCCTGGTCCATATTTTCAACATTTTCAAAAACCCCTACATTCTCTTCATTTTCCACATTTTCTGGATTCTCAACATTTTCAAAAACCCCTACATTCTCTTCATTTTCCACATTTTCTGGATTCTCAACATTTTCAAAACCCCTCACATTCTCTTCATTTTCTGGGTTCTCAACATTCTGTATGTTTTCATAGTCATCATTTTGCATAAGACCCAAATTTCTATCACCAATATTTTCAATATTTTCAACAATGTCGACATTCTCTTCTTCCTCTAATAGCCTAGCTTCCTCTCTTAAGTTGACTAGCATCATTCTCCGAAGAGCTGCAGCCCTGTCTCTGTTCCGGCCAGCTCTATCCCACTGACATTAAAAACAAATAAAAAAGATTAAGAGAGAAGGAAATCACAGCTCCAAGTTATGAGTTTCTTAACCATTTCATGAATTAAGACAAACTTATCCAGTACAAAAATGCTAATAATGAATGGCCCCAAAATCTTAAGAAAATTTTTGACAGTACAATTTGGAGATAAACTTAACAACCAAATCTATATTTCTTAATGACTATATTGTTGCTTTAGAAATGTTTCTTTAGATAAGCTGAAGAAAGTATACAAACAAATCATGTTGGCACCTGCTCATTCTAATTTTTCCATCATCATATTTAAGGTTACTGGAAAGTGAAAATCTTAATCGGCAGCAGTTTTGTTTTTTTGTCTTATGTTTCTTTCTCTAGTAGAAAAAAACTGACAAGCTATTGCAAAAAGCCTATGCTATCTTCTTCAAATGTTATTATGGACCAATTTTTCAAAAGCTGAAGGCTGAAATTTTTTTTTGTATTTGTGAGGAGACTTTGAGAAAATCGACTAAAATTGTAACGTAAACCTCCATTACTCAGAAACTAATAGGAGTTGGGGGCCCTTGTTTTGGGTTTAAGTTCATGTTATAGTGAGGTACCGTCACCGTCTTTATGTCGATGGACTGCGTGCTCCGTATCGAGGAGGTCCGTTAGGCCGTCTCGCTTTCTCGCGACCTCCGCGAATATTTAGCTCATTTTAAAGCCAAGCTCCTGCGGCCGGGATTCTTCTTCGAGAGTCATAAACTGTCTAACAGTGCAAAACAAGTCGAGGTTACCTTGAGGTCCCGCTCCAGTTGTGCTTGCGTGAGGCAATCCATGATCTTGAACCGGGTCTCCTGGACCTCCTTTTGGGGGCGTCTCGAGCTGGCCCGAAACAATAAGTGCACAACAAGATAATGAGGCCATGCTATTTCACAAACTGCTAAATGAACCGAGTTGAAAGCCACTCATTTGCATGCCAACAGCACCGCCCGTAGACCACAATGCTACGGTCCCCATAAACTCTGCTAATAACATACTTTCTTGCTGGGCTTCGGAGTGCAATCCGCAGCGGTGGATGAACTGGGGCCGGCCACATGCACCAACGATTTCCCAGACTTCGGATTAGGCGACTACAACAGAAAGAAAGCCTAATAGTAAAACACAAATAACATCTTGACTGCTGATGCTATTTTCAGGCAATTGTAACTCACCTCCCTGTCCCGAGACTTCTGACGGTGTGGACCGGCCCGGTAGTGGACTCAGATTCTCCCTGCTCTTGCGGGACGCCTGGGTGATTTCGTGCGTAGGGGCCGTTTTCGCCACCTTGGAAAGTCACACAATCAACCTTGCACTCTTAAAACCTTGCGAAGCATGTGTTCGCATTACAAATCATTTAGTTCGCAGCTTGCGAAGAGTTTGGCTTGATTGTATTACGAACTAATCGTTCGCAATTTTGCGAACAATGTGTTTGTAAGGGCTTCGCAATACAAACACGTTGTTCGCAAATTGCGAAGCACCTCTTCGCAAGTTGCGAACTACTGATTTGCAATACGGATGGGTTCTTCGCATTGCAAACAAGTGAGACACTCCGCAAGCTTACAAACACATCGGTTCGCAAGGTTTTAAGAGTGATGCTTCTTTAGCCGGAATTTTGCCTAGATGGCATCAACTTAAGTTAACCCCAGGAAGACACTATGAGCGGGCCAGATACAAGTTGACTTTCGTGTTCTCCCCCTATAAAATATGATGGAATTTACTGAAGATATGACGGAAATTGCGCTTGACGGAAATGACAAACAGTCGCCGACGACCATGTTTTGATTTGGCTGTGTGGGCTGCTTGGTGGTTTTCTGAACCACAACCCGTGTGGAAGCGGAGCTCGAAAGTTTGTCGATTTTTTGCCATGCACCGAAAGTCAAAGAATCGGCATACAAACGCCAGAGATATTGGCAAGTTAAAGAAAAAAATACGTCAAATTAATCTGACGAAAAAAAGTCGATAGTTTGTCGTTTTTTTGCCGGAATAGTGTTGCCATAAAAGAGAAAAAATCGACAAATTCTAGGCACGTTCGAGGGCGGTGCAAGCCGGTGTTGCCACATTGCTCACTTGCCCGCGTGACGTCATCGCCTGGGCCCCGCGCTCGCCGTACTCGTGACGTCATTGTCTGCGCCGGTGCTTCCCTCCCTCGCCCTTTCCTTGCGGGCCACATTGATCATTCCAGAGTGCAGGGGGTAGAGTGGGGTTGGAAGCAGAATGCGTGCGGATTGGAAAATAAGCTTAAACTTTAATACTCTTTTATCCACTCACCAATTTGTTTCCAACAAAACAACATCAAAATATAATATTTCATCAAAAATAAATATGTAAATAAATATGTAGTTAACAATCTCTCTCTCTCTCTATCAAAATTTGTTTACAACTACCTACACCATGCAGATGGGCCTAAACTAAATAGTAATTTGTCAGACTAGAACCACAGAACCACATCAATTTGTTTCTAACAAAATAATAACAAAAAATAATAAATATTTAGTCAATAATAGTTAACATTTTATATTGAATTCTTATTAATATTTGCAGTGAGGAACAATTTCCTCAGTTGTTGGTGCAGGGGGCATGTTATACGAGATGTCTATGTAGTGATGATCAGGGGTGGGTGGGTGACAAATGGGTAAGCGGGAATGTGGAGAGAAAATGAGAGAACAGAAAGTGGAAGGATTAGACAGGATAGGGGGAGACTGGGAAGCTGAGGGAAGAGATGAGACAGGGAAAGGCTGGGGAGGGGAGGGAGAAGTAATCGGCTGGGAAGTAGAAGGAAAGGACTGGGAAGTGGAAGGAACAGGGATGGACTGGGAAGTGGAAGCAGGAGGCTGGAAAGTGAAAGGAGTAGGGATGGGCTCGGATGTGGAAGCAGGAGGCTGGAAAGTGAAAGGAGTAGGGATGGGCTCGGAAGTGGAAGCAGGAGGCTGGAAAGTGAAAGGAGTAGGGATGGGCTCGGAAGTGGAAGCAGGAGGCTGAAAAGTGAAAGGAGTAGGGATGGGCTCGGAAGTGGAAGCAGGAGGCTGAAAAGTGAAAGGAGTAGGGATGGGCTCGGAAGTGGAAGCAGGAGTGGACTCTGATGAGGAAGGAGGGAGGAGGAATCTTTTACCCTTGGAAGCAACAGTAGCATCTATAAGATTTCTCAAAATTTCATCTGGATCATAACGAATATTATGGATTGAACCTCCCGCCTTCTGATATTGTGTGTTGACTGCCACTGAAAAAAATAATCTTGTTAGTTTTAAGTAAAAAAAGAAGGTGCATCAAAAAAATAAAAATTAACTTACACACTATAGCTTCTTGAATTTTTCTATTTAAACCAATGCAGCCTCTTTTACTATGGCAGGAGACGCCGTCCAGCCTAAGAATATTTTCTGGCACTGCCAACTTGAGTAGAGCACGGTGGAAACATGCTGGGCGCAAAGCGTACTTCTGTTTATTAAGATTAAATTTCCCTTGGTCCACAAAGATTTTGGTCCCAACGTACAACTCCCGCTGCAAAATAAATACAATCAAAAAATGATACTAAAGGTTCTCATTGTTCACAAAAAGAGTCTATTTACCTTTAATGGGCCATTTTTGAAGCATGGCAGTGCATCTAGTTGTCTTTGAATTTGTTCCATTACTTCAGGACTTCTTTTTTTTGGCAGGCAGGGAGGACGTTTTGACTTTTCTTTAATTACTGGTTGCAGTTGCTCACAAACCACATCTGAATCGATTTTAAAAAGAAAACGATTAAAATACGGAGAAAAAAACAACAGAAAACAGGAAACTTGCAAAAGGGCTGGTCCGTAATGAAATTTGGGAGGTTATTGCAAAAAAATTTCAAATTGATAAATGAAAGAACCCTGAATCTCTGAGAATGGTCACACTTAGAAAAAGAATTCCAAGGCTATGCAAATTTGTGCCAATAAAAGGACCAGAAGTTTTACTTGGTAATTAAAGTACCTGCTCCTTCAGCCTGTAGTTGCTGCGCCGTTTGCTGCAGTTGAATTTTTTGTGCGTTCACCTGCTCCATTCGTTTCCTTTCCAGTTCTTGTTTGCGAGTGCCCACTCCCTTCAGGGGAGTGAGACTCCCATCTGCAGTGACATGGAGTCTAATTAAATCTTTCTTCAGGCCTGAAAGACGACGAACAGGATAGGATTATTGTTACAGTGAATAGCAATTGCATTTAAGCACAAGATCCTTACATACCAGTGGCCACAACCACGCCCCTCACTTCTTCAAGCCGGCCTTTGGTTGTCTCGAGAACATAAACAGCCTCATCTCCAGGCTTAAGTATGATGCCACCATCAGCTACCAGACTATCACTCCTTATAAGATCTGCTGCATCAGGGTCTTTGCTGTGCATCAGCAAAAAGTACTTCCCCTTTCTTGACATCTTGATGATTGAGTCGTTCCGAACAGCTGATCTTTCACGTCTTTCACGTCAAATTGGATTGGAAGCACAGCAGAAGACAACAAACCAACAGCTGATCCACAATAACAAAGCATACGGCAAAAACCAATTTTCATTTAATGGGTTAAAAATGGCAGAGATACATCGTAAAATGATACATTTTTAATTTTGTACCATTATAGTAAAAAAAAATAGTGTAGTTCATTTGATTTCTAGAGAAGCCTCCCACTTTCAAACCTGCATTTTCACATCGCATGTTGGCAACAAAGCACGGCCTTCTCAGACCAGCTCTCCCCCCTTTCCCCTCCCCTTCGTCCCTCGCGCCCCCGCCCCGGCCCCAACAGTGACGTTGACGTTGTAGAAACCGGCTACATTTTCTCTCCTATACATTTTATCTTTATTATGAAGTTTTGACAAATATGGACGAAGAAGAAGATAAGCTTACGGTTCGTGACGGATATGCAATTTCAGCATTACTTAAGGATGAAAGTGGGGAAACAGACTACTCGGAGCTCGACGAGGCGACCAGGTAAACATAACCTCTTTGTGGACTATTTATTTTAACTGCGTACCATTTGCATTATTGACTTTCGATATTTTGCAGTGACATACTTGTCGATGATGACATTCTTGATGAAACTTCTGATCTGGAGGTTAACCCGCCTACAGGAAGCTCAAGTCAAACGCTGGCACAACTAGGTAAATCATATTTAATTGTTAATGCAAGACTGCCGAAAAGCAGAGGATCCTTTGTGGTCCAAGCTTTCTGAAGTCAAGCACAACCTGAGTTGGAAATTTTAACCTATAAATTAACTGTGTTTTGTTCAAATTTTAGACATTCAAAATGCCAGAAGTTTACAATTGCTCTCTACCCCTGCTGATTCCACTTGCCTAATGGATGTTGGAATTATGGATGAGAATGCACCTCTTTCACCGGATTTGATCGAGTCGGAAACAGCAGATCTAACTTCTCCAGCATGTCCATCAGCAAAGAGGTTGAAGATGTCCAACCCACAAGATAAGGAACATATAGACACAGGTGAGGAAATATCTAATTTTGATATATTCCAATGAAAATATTATTTGGATAAAACTAATTTTCTTTCATTTCTGACAGAAGCTGATTCTTACACCTTTACACCGATGCCCTATCAAGTGGCCTCACCCAGTAATGTAGACACTGATTTTGATAGTGATGCTGGTGAACATCAATTAGGTGCTGGTATGTTCACATTTGCTTTGCCATGATTTCTATAATTTTTGAGATATCTAAAAGAATTACTAATTATTTTTCTTTTGTTTGGTTTTAGAGTATTTCTCAAACTACAATAGTGATGAGGAGAGTAATTTTTTCCATGAGTCAAGTGCTACAGCGGATCTACTTGATGAAATGGCTTTACAATCAAGTGATGAAGAGGAAAGTGAGTCAACATCAAGCAAAGATAATGTGTCTGATCCCCCACTCTACAAAGGTGCTCCAATCACACAATGGGAAAGCCTCACATCGATTCTAGCTTTTGTTTCATCTGAACACCTTAGTGGTGCTGGTCTTGAAAGGTTACTTTCACTCATCGATTTACATCTACCGCAGCCCAACAAATTTTGTAAAACAAAGGCTCAGCTTTTTAAGGTATTACAAGGAGTAGAAGAGCCTGCAGTTATTCATTACTTTTGCAGCATTTGTTACAAAATAAGGAAAGGTCCAAATGACTTATGTGATTCATGTACTGATATTAACAAATGTGTCCTTTACTTTATTTCTTTTTCTTTGGAATCTCAGTTAAAAAAGATGTTTGAAAGGCCAGACTTTGTGGAAAATATCAAGTATAAGCAGACTAGAAATAAGAAGAATAGTGAAAATATTGAGGATGTATGTGATGGAGAGGTCTACAAAGAAGCAGCAAAATCTTTTGATGAATCATGTTTTACTATTACTCTAATGTGGAACACTGATGGGATGCAGGTTTTTACTTCCAATACTTTCTCTCTCTGGCCTTTTTACCTTGTGATAAATGAACTCCCTCCTAAGAAACGTTTCTTAAGTGAGAATTTACTCATCGGTGGAATTTGGGGTAGTGTTGTCAAGCCTCATCCAAATGTTTTTCTGCTGCCAATATACAAAGAACTTAAGGCTTTGGAAAGGGGAATTGATGTTAAATTTCATAGTGACAATAACCTTACTAAGGTTGTAGTCAAATGTATTTGTGGGACATGTGATTCTCCAGCTAAAGCAACTTTTTTAAACATGAAGTCTCATTCTGGATTTTACTCTTGTCCTGTTTGCCTCACTAGGGGCTTAAAGCCTAAAGATGCTCCTGTAGTATTTCCATATGAAGAAAATGTTCAACTTAGAAATATGCCACAGTACCAAGAACATGTGAAGTGGGCTGTGGATCACAAAGTTATATTTGACAAAACCCCTCGTGATGAGGAAAAATGGTGTGGCATCAAGGGTCCTACTGTGTTGTCATCAATTGTACCCAATATCTTTGATTCAACAGCTACTGATTGTATGCATTGTGTGGACTTGGGGGTCATGAGACAAATGCTGCATTTGTGGTTCGACAAAGAGTACAAGGACCAACCCTTTTCAGTCTTCAAGAAGACCAACGAAGTGAACAAGAGATTGCTTGACTTAACTCCACCACATTACCTTCAGAGAACTCCACAAACTATTGATAAACTTATTCATTGGAAGGCAACGGAGCTTCGTTCCTTTCTTGTTAATTTATCGTTGATTGTTATGAAGGACATTTTATTGCCTGAATATTATGCACATCTTGCCCTCTTTGTGAAAGGAGTGTCGCTTTTAAATAGCTCCAGTGTCAGTGATGAGAATCTAGTGTTATCATCTTTGCTCAATGATCAATTTGTTGCTGATTTTGAAGAATTGTATGGTCTTGAAAACATGAGTTTCAATCTACATTTGCTTAGACATCTTGCAAGATGTGTTAAAAAGCTTGGACCATTGTGGATAGTATGTTGTTATAAGTTAGAGGACATCAATGGCAGGATTGGTAATTTTATCCATGGTACTTGTCATGTAGGTCTGCAGGTTTATTCTAACTTATCAATTGTCACAAGATTGCCTTTATTGGTAAAAAATTTAGCAGATGGTTTAGCCAAAAAGTACTGTGAAGGATTGATGAAAAAAAGACTCCGATTAAAAATTTCTGAAAAAATAAGTGGAGGATTATATTGTGTAGGTCCTTTCAAGCTGTTAAATTCAGACTACATAATTAGAGTACTTGAATCTTTGATCTCTGAAGAATGCAATGTCCAATTGTTCTATCGTCTTTTAAAAGATGGTTTACTTTATGTGTCTAATTTGTACACCAGAGGTAAAAGAGTTTCTTCTTATGTCAAGTACAAGAAGGACAACAGTGTATTGTATGGCAACATTAAGACCTTTGTTAAAATATCTTGTGTGTGCACAGCTCCCTGTGACTGTAAATGTGATTATGTTGCTATCATCAAGCCAAAGCCTGTTCATGTGTTACAAATAGGTGATATAGAGATTTCACACATAAGTACTCACAAATGCACTGATCTTTGTAATGATACAACAACATTTGATGTCATATTAGTAACTGAGTTACAAACTGTTGTTTTTAAAATTGATGGAACTGAAAAAATGTATTTGTGTGAACCTCTTAATGAGTTTGAGAGAGATTAAAAGAATAATCCAATCCGCACGCATTCTGCTTCCAACCCCACTCTACCCCCTGCACTCTGGAATGATCAATGTGGCCCGCAAGGAAAGGGCGAGGGAGGGAAGCACCGGCGCAGACAATGACGTCACGAGTACGGCGAGCGCGGGGCCCAGGCGATGACGTCACGCGGGCAAGTGAGCAATGTGGCAACACCGGCTTGCACCGCCCTCGAACGTGCCTAGAATTTGTCGATTTTTTCTCTTTTATGGCAACACTATTCCGGCAAAAAAACGACAAACTATCGACTTTTTTTCGTCAGATTAATTTGACGTATTTTTTTCTTTAACTTGCCTATATCTCTGGCGTTTGTATGCCGATTCTTTGACTTTCGGTGCATGGCAAAAAATCGACAAACTTTCGAGCTCCGCTGCCACACGGGAAGACGTCACCGTCACTTCTTTACAGGCTCCCACCTCAAATTACTATGACAGTCACGATACAGTTCTCCTGTAACCCCCCCCCCCCCCCCCCCCCCCCGAAATTTTGTGGAAAATCTCAGCCGGATCGGACCAAAACTTCCGGTATCGAAAATTTATCTGGCTGAAGTTCCAGGAAATGTTTACGGCAGGCCGCGCTGCCCGCCGCGCCGCTCCACTGGCAGGCGGCGTCTCGGGTGTCGACGGGCCGCGCGGCTGGCAGTGCCGTGGCGGCCGGGGAAGCGTCGCGTTGCAGAGACGGCCGAGGGGCCGGGAGAAACGCCAGCGAAGCACTCTGCGTGTTTATCAGGCCGGCATTCCATGCACCCCGCTGTGCGAGAGACAGGCGAGTCCTTGTTGCCGTGGGGCGGCCCTCCACCCGCACCGCAGCGCCTCACACTGGAAGGCAAGGACACTCGTTGGAATGCAAGGACTGGAACGCGGGGCGAGGGGCGCTCCGTGAGGGAGGCAGAGAAAGCACGGTCCGACATCGACCTGCAGTGCGCTGCTCACGGACCTCGCCAGGGTCACGGCGAACCCACCTCCTGGGAATCCCGGGAATATCCGCCAATTCTCCAGAAAATCTCCTGCGATTGTCAGGAATATCAGTAAACTCCCAGGAAATGGTTTGAACGCGGAGACTGATTCCGAGAGTCGTTTGCGTCGCTGTCTCTCTTGCACTCAGTCACGTGGCTAAAAACGGACGGAAAATTCTGTTTGTTTCTTTGCCAAGGTTCTCGGTAGCGCTCTTATAAATCTGTGTTTTCTGAGGGATCTTGCAGTATTCTCCGTAGGACCCTACAGTCTACGGACAACACTGCAAGGTCCTACGGAGAAGACTGTACGGTTCTACGGAGAATAGAGTACTTCGGAGGACAGCTAGAACGGAAATGAAGAAGAAATTAAGAAGAACGAAGTATGCAAAATGCGTGAGAAGCAGCGAGGACAAACTTGTCTTTTTCTAGCTGTAATTGGAACATAACTTTGTCCTCGAAAAAAAAGTTTTGAGGCACCATGTGAAAAAGGCGTTTCAAGAGGTGCTGATCAAAAGTAGATAGCTAAAAAAATTATTTTTTTTCTGGACCCAAAACCACCTAAGCCCAGTGGTAAAATGACCCAAAACTTAAATTGTTCACAGTTCCTCTAATAATTGCCTGACATGGCTGAAATTTTGTGGGGGTGTTTACCTATGGGTAGGCACCATTTAAGACAAAGAGGAGCGAAATCGCCGATGGTCTACTTCAAACGGCCCTGATATGCTCAAATCTTCAGTAAAAACAGTGAAATTGAGCAACTTTGAGAGCCCGTAGCATCCAAACCCGACGTCGTAGAGCCTCGTTCGACACGGCATTCGAAAGAGCGCATTTTTTTGAGTATCTGAGACCCATTTGGGTACTTTTTTGGATCTCGGTTTGCGAGAACCCATCTAGTCCCATACCCTCGAAAACAGCTGTTTTTGGGGTGTTTAGACCCGTACCAAAGCCACAGGGGGTGTCGGATTTCGTCCAAGTGTCTTTTCGGCAGTTCGTATACATACAAGGAACCGATAAAACACCACAAGCGCCCGCTCCTAGGATGTCGCCGACCAAGTGGTTTTTTTTGTCTGGAGCTTCTCTTAGCGTAGTTTGCAAGGGCTGCATGATGGACTTCACAGCTGTTGTTAGCTGTGTGGTACTCTTTCCACACAGAGAGAACTTCAGGTCCGAGGCCAACCTTGCCCAGCCACTCTGGATGCAGATATGAAATAAGGAGGAATGGCGTCGGCCCACCAGGACCGACGCGTCCGCTTCGCGGTGGGGCTGTCCAACAGCAGAGTATCTTCGTCGACGTCGTCCATGGTGTTCCGACGGCGCAGTTGGCTTCGTCGACGGACAAGAAAATTTCTTTTTAAAATCATGGTGCTTCTTGGGTCCGCTCAATTGTTTACAGTAAGGTCAGAGAAATGGGATAACAAAAGAACAGAAACAGGTTTCGATTTCTTTATTGATACATCTCTTTTTGTTAGAAAAGAATCGTTTCTTCTCTCAAGCACACCTTGCACTTAAGAGTGTACAGCTCTCCCTTTCTCGGGACTTCGTTAAGAAATTGTACATATTTATTGGAGCAGTGCATGCACCGCATGAAAACAGCCCTTGCCCACTTCTCCAACAGTTTCCTCGGCCTCTTGCCACCGTTCGGTCTTCTTACATGCATTTTCTTTCGGTTCAACTTAGGCTGTCACCAAAAACGCAAAAAAAAAATATGAATTAATCAATTAAAGCCCAATTTCAAGAGTTACAAAATAATAATAAACCGTGATTCGTCCTTTTCAAAACGTTACCATTTTGCAACAATGACTCCGGATGGCCACAAGGCCTTTCAGAAGTAAAGAGAATTCTGCACAAACGAAATAAAAATTCCTTGTTATGAGCATGACGTGATGCATTTTGTATTGTGTGACGTGTGCTACAGTGAATTTCTGCCTTCAGAAAGCCTAAGATTTAGAGAAAAACCGAAAAAATCAAAGAAATTTCCCCTTTGTTCATGCCTCAGACTTTATGGCCTCACCTTGTCCGCGAGATTTCTGATTTCGCGACCACCCCCGCAGCGGTAACCCCCTTTTTTTCTAGCGACCGGGGCGAGCCTTCCCCCAGAGCGATTCTCACGTTTCGGGGTAGTTTCGTTTCTTCTGACTCCTGTGCCCAAACGAGCGCAGATATCGACATGGGGTTTGTTTCTGATGCTAGGGAGGGCCATTGCCCACTAAACGCACACATTTCGAAAAGTTCACGTTCGTTGGATTGGTCTACGTAGCGTTTGGAATACCCTAAATGTAACTTATGGCAAACATGGTCGAAGTATGATTTAAAAGAAAGTTAGATTATCAGGAATGACTCTGTCCAAAGAAATAAAGATTTGATAATTATCAGCTACATCGGATGAATAACATATTCTGACATTGACTGCACATTATTGAACACATATTGACCTGCAAGGGAAACAGAACAGAGTTAGGTCTGGTGTGGTACATGGCTGTGCTTACACAGGTGACAGGATGCTTACCATTATCTTATGAACGACAGTAGGAATGCCACTAATTCTGCAAGGAAAACAAAACAAAGTTAGGTTTGGTTTTACATGGCTCTGCTACTACACAGGTGACACACTGCTTACGTTGGACTCTTGATTGAATTAAGAACCCCATAGCTGGTCTCGCTTCGGGGTCTATGAGGTATATAATACCCATGATTGCTACGATGGCCACCATCTTAAAAAAAATCCAAAGCGGGTCTTCTCGCAGCGCTACCTCCCTGCTAAAAGAATAAAAAGGTAAGTGTCTTGCATATTATGTGTGTCTGACGTTGCTTATAACTCTATCCCAGTTTTTAATTAATGTTTCTATAACTGTAAGGTAGACTGTCACGCATAGAAATGTATTTAATAGGTGGGGCAAGGTATGATGTTTTGATTTTTATAGTTAAAACTAATAGAAATTCACTCCACCACATGATGGACAGAGATGTGGGATTGGGACACGGATTCGGATCAAACTTTGTTGGTTCAATCGGTACAACTAGGATTTACCAACCCTGAAAATGTCGCTTCCTGGTTTTTTTCCGGTTAAAGTTGTTAGCATAGCTTTGGCTTAGGGTCAGGGCGGGGAAGAACTGGACAGGGGAAGAACTGAACACCCCATGTTTTACTCCAAATGCTGTATGCACAGGCTTAACAACTATCACGTAATGAACTGCTGATGCCTCTGAACAACTTTTGATGGTTGTTGAGCCTGTGCATACGGTAATTTAAGTAAAATATGGGGTGTTCAGTTCTTCCCCTGTCCAGTTCTTCCCCGCCCTGACCCTGTGTCTTCTAGCTAGTCATAAAAAAAGAAGAAAAATAGTGGAAGGCCAAGTTTTGTACGTTGCTTGGTTTGGGCTTGTCAAGCAATATTGTTGAATTCATTGACACTCTCACCTCCTGTCCTGTCACATTATGCAATGTCAGCTTCATCATTTCTCATTTATAATATCTAGAGCTTGATTTTCATCAAAAGTGTAATGAAATGTTGGCTTAAGATTCAGTTTTAATCTTATCTTGAGTTTCTTATAAGAGACCATCTGTGCTTCATAAGTAACATATAGTAAATTGTAGTGACATTATTGCAAAATCAGCTAGGAATTTTAATTAACTTAAAGAGGAATAAAATGTTGGCTTAAGATTCCGTTTTAAACTTATCTTGAGCTTCTTATAAGGTATAATGTGTAGACCATCTCTGGGAGGTGATCTATTTGCATAACAAAATGACTATAATAAATGTCTGTGATTAAGACCTTAACTTGTAGCAACCTTGTTGAATGTCCAACCCTGAACCTTCTCCAGTCGCAGACTCAGTTTACGTTCCCTCTTCACTTACCCTGATACCTGGATGTTGCATTTCAACATTTATCATTCAGAAATGCTTATACCATTATTCCTTGCTACAGCAATACACACTCAAATACACCGTTCTCAACCATGTTACCTTGAAGAAATGCAAAGTTGTATCTCACTGAAGTGATGCCGGTTGCACATCATAAAACAATCAAATCAGATCAGCAATGTGAGAAGCAAGAATGAGAAACATGGCGCGACAAAATCAGTTCATACCAAATTCATGGATACCATCCATTGAGAAAACAGAAAATTGTATATGAGCAGTTAATCATAATAGCTATTGGAAAATACTGTTCGGACTCATTGATGAATTTGAAGGGGTGAAGGGTTAAAAGAGTCAGGGGTCGAATCTGTCACGACAGGCAGACAGACAGAAAAAACTTTTCAACCCCACCGGAGTAACAGGCTTCGCTATCGCTCAGCCAATCAAAGAGTGCACATGGTAT